ATTGTATTTTAAGTGAAATTTAATGTGATTTTATGTTATTAATAACTAGTTGAGTCAAGTAGACCCTAACTCGAAATTGTCTATTATGTTATTGAGCTAGAGCCCAAGCTTAAGATTGAAAGAATGCTTGATTCAAGTTTCGAGCCCGAGTTTTTCAATCTATTCAAGTTTTGAGCTTGGTAGTACTCGACTCGACTCAGTTCGATTCCACCCATATTGTTAACATGACAAGCATTGCATGTTGTCTTTTTTCTCATCTACTACAAAAACATATTGTTTATTTTAATTAATCCATTTTAATTTTCTGGACTTTTCCAGACGTGAGCATTAGTGGTTAAAAATATTAAATTTTAGTTTTTGATAAAATTTTTTTTCATTTTTGTAGGTGTTTTCTTTACGTGTAAAATCTGATGTACTTTTGTTTACCTTTATTTGTGTGTACGTTTTAAATCAATTTTAGTCTAACATACAGATTTTCCAATATAACAATTGACCCAAATTTAATAACTAATTTCTACTTTATTTTTTCGACTTTAATGGTATTAAAATTCGTGTTCATTCCCCTACATGTCACAATGAAATGGTAAACTAAACGTTCTATTCACACAATCAACTATAATGCTTTATGTGTTTCAGGCTTCTCCCCACCTATATTTTGGGTTAAATCACTTCTCGTTGTTGTTTACACTCTTAATCTTCTTCCTGTTTCTACCCGCTCTTTCAAAACACATTTGAAATGCCTTTTCGTGATTTATGAGGGAATAAACTTGTTTTTGTTGGGTCTATTTGGTTACTTTGAACAAATTAAAAGGGTAACCTGATTACCCCTTTGCTACATAGACTTTAACTTTGAAAAGTCCCATCTCTTTTGACATGACCCTTGTTTCTCCTTCAAACCCATGCCCTCTGATCACCACATAACTCCTCGGATTCTCACCACCATCAACAAACCCTAAACACCATAGATCTCCATCTTCATCTTCACCTGCAAATCTCATCATTGAATTCGCTCCAAACGTCCTCCAAAAGACATCTTGATTATGCATCACTAGATCAACAGTCAGAAACGTAGGCCATGACCATGTGCTAGAAACTTCACTCACTGGATAACACACATTGAACATACTACATTTGAATGGATGTTCTAATTGTCACCTAATTCCGCCATTGATGACATCTTTGAGATTTGCAAATGATGTTGAACTACCCTATTTTCCTGGTTTTTGGGTCAAGATGGTGGATAAATGTGACATCCCCAATTTCACGGCCAGAAAATACCGATTTGTTATGCTTGTTTTTAAAATCAAAGTAATCTTTTAAAGAAAACAGTTGCAGAATTTGTTCCCAAGACAAAACATGATAAGAATTTAACGAAGCATTTCTTTAAAGAAATGTATTTTCATTAAATAACAAAAGCTCGGGATGTCATGTTCCGATACAGACCAAAAACATAAACAGTAAAAATAGACCTTACAACAGTCATTTATAAGTACTGATCTATAATCCAAAATCTCTCGTCAAGTCCACCAACTTATACTCTTGTGCCATTACCTGTAATGCAAAGAAAACTGAGTGGGTCTGGTTTGGGAGCCTGGTGAGTATATAGGGTTTTCAACCCACAATAATATAATTATTATACTCAACCATCAAACAATCAACCCTAATTAACCATCCCCAGTATCTTCTTTATTTCTTAGGATTTTACCCTCAGAATTCAACTACCCGCCATTCATTCATTCCTAAGGATTGACCTAAGGAATTGGCACAAAATCTATTGTTACATAAGGCACATCTACCAACATCATCCTTTAACCGCCTATGCCAGGATTACATCATATACTATGAGGCGCGACTGTCAGGTTTATGACATTCTCTTTTAGGTACATTTGTCGACGTTATCCTTTAAGCGCATCTGCCAGGATTACGACATTCACTATTAGGCGCATCTGTCGACATTATTCTTAAGCGCATTTGCTAGTATTATGACATTCTCTATTTGGTGCGTCTGCCAAAATTATTCCTAAGCGCATCTACTAGTATTATTACATTCACTATTGGTGCATCTGCCAATATTATTCTTAATCATCTTTCGTACCTCATCATTTATTTACTCATGTTATCCCCAACATAATAGCAGATATGAAACACATATACATTTTAACTTATTTAAAACATGTACCAAACATTGCATTCAACACCAATCACAAATAAACAAACAACTTATTAACACATATCACGTATTTTATAGTCAATACTTCGTATTCAACACTCATCTCAGATAAACAAACAACTTATTAACACATAGCACATATTTCATAGCAAATACTTAATATTTATGTGTTAGAAGAAAGTAACTGTACACTCACTTGATCAGAAGATGATCGAACAACACTACGACTTGTAGAAGTAGTATTTTTCGGTAGATCTGGAAGATCTTCACAAAAAACCGGGCTCCTCGAGGGCAGAGCTTCGACTCGGAAATTTTACTTCTCGGGATCTTCGGGGCTTCGGGACTTTCTTCGGGTGTCGGGAATGATACCGAGGATTTGGGATATTTCTTGCACGAAAATCGAGGTAAAACGGGAGAGAGAGAAGAGAAAAGGAGCAAAAAGGCCAGCTGCCTTCGCAGCCTTTTATAGGGGCTGGAACCCTCGCATTACGCTGGGCGTAATGCTCAGCTACGCGGGGAGTAATGCTTCGGAAACGTCACTGCTTACGTATTCGGAGGACTCGAGTCCGAAGCGGTTCATGCACCGAGGTACGCTGGGCGTACTCAACTATGCTGGGCGTAGTTCGGATAGGATCAGTGACTCCTTCGGATATTATCCAGAATTCTTAATTAAATATATATTTTAATTATTTATAAAACTTCCGAAATTCATATCTTTCTCATACGAACTCCGTTTTCGATGCTCTTTATATCCACACGTAGGTGAGACTATGCGTTTAGACTTCGTCGGCTAATTTTAACTTTATTTTCATTATTTATTTTTAGTAGGCTGGGACAGGAAAACTCCGTTATAAATTCATAACTTCTTCATCTGACGTCCGTTTTCATCTGTCTTTTTACCGTTGCACTACTATCAACAAGATCTTCTATTCTCGTTTAGATCGCTAAGACTAAATATCACTCTAACGTAAATTCACTTTTTACGTCATTCAGCGTCGTGCGGGTTCTGTCGCGAAACTTCGATAGATCATAACTTCTTCGTTATAACTCAAATTTTGGCATTCTTTATATGTACAGAATCTTTATAACATATACTATAACTTAGTTAAGGTTATTCTTTCAAATTAATCTTCCATCAAAAAGTTATTTTTGACGCTTAACATCTTAAATTGATTAGTCCTGATCTACGGGAGTTAGAATAAATGTTTCTTGGATTTTGGATCCGTTGAATAATCCATTTTAAAGTGGAATGATTTCCTTAAATCGGCTTCTTCTTGTTTGCCATTTGATGTGTTAGAAATCCCCTTTGTTCTCGATTTGCAAACCAAATGGAAATCAAATTCCATTCCATGGTGACAAATCACATAATAGACCTAAATTCATGTTTATTTAGATTCTAATTCTTATTCCTTCAAAAAAAAAAAAAAAAAAAAAAAAAAAAAAAAAAAAAAAAAAAAAAAAAACACCCCTTAAATACATGCAAAATCCTTAGTTTGAATCTAATATGTATCCATATAGGGTTAACTACAAGCGAATGCAAACAAATTTTACCATTTCAACAATATAATGTAACATTTTAATCTTTTTTCAAAAATTAACCAATTTATCATAACTTATGCAAAATGTTATAAAAGATCCCTCACTTAATTTATCATAGGTTATCAAAAATATTAAATTTGTAACAATCGTAGAATATTGATTATAATTATAATAATATTTAATTAAATAAATATATTAATTATAAATCATAAAGTTAATATATATTTATATACTATGTAAAAGGATAATTTAACTAGTCAAAAATAATAAAACTCTAAATCTTAAATATAATTACATTTAGGTGGGTAAAATAAAATACGTTTTAGATGAAAAGGTTAATTGTAATGAACATTTTATTTAAAAATATAAAAAATAATAAATAATTGCAAAACACTATTTGTTTCTTTTTTTTAAAATCATTTCTTATGACCGTTGCACTATTTGACATTTTGTAATTATTTTTAAAATATATAAACTTCTTATTGCAGTTTGTAACGTTTAGTCTATCTTTTTCAATGTTTTAAAAACCGGTTTGAACTGGCCGGTAGAACCGATTGGACCAGAAATCGGGAGAGGAAGCGGTTCAACTATCACTGGTTTTACATTGCTTTCTGAATCGGACTGAACCGGCCGGTTTTTAGAAAAAAACCCGGTTGAAGTGTTCAAAATAAACCGGTTGAACCGGTTAAACCGAATAAAAACACATGAAAAAGAACTATTTACATAATAAATTTTAGTGATTTTTTTTTCAAATCTATTTAATTTTGTCTAAGTAAAAACATATGGTAAATGTTATAAAGTTTTTGATGTGGTAGTATTCATCTAAAACTATATTTCGTTTCGGTATTATATTTTATTTTCTTTTTGGCGTATATGGATTGATGTAATATAATAAAACTTATGGTTATGTGTTATTTTAATGTATTTAGATTTATTAAATTTTATTTTTATATGTATTTTTAATGTTTGAACTTGTAAACATCAAATTTATTATTTATATATGTATGTATGTGTAGGAAAATAGAAAAAAAACATGAAAAATATAGAAACTGATTCACTCGGTGGTCGAACCGGTTAAACCGGGAACTAGTAACCATACTGGTTCAACTAAAAAACCGGTTTTTAAAACATTGCAGAAGGTTATAAATATAGTTAAAAAGACTAAAGACGTTTTAAGCTTAAAAAAAAAACAAAGTTGTCTTTTACTAACAAACATCATTTTAATAAGTAATAATAATCTTTATAAAACAGTTTCAGATTTTCAGATTCAAAATTATTTCAAAATAATACTAAGCCTTCGTAAAAGTCAAATAACGGGTCAAACCAGCAATACAAAGGCCCGATCCGTAATATTCAAAAGTTTGTTAGGGCATAAGCAAACGATACTAACAGTGTGAAGCTGGTGAAGCAATCAGCAAGAAAGATGGAAGAACAGGGAATATTGGGGGTGAAACCCAGAAAACAATCAGCAGCTCGGATCAGAGGAAGACGATGGTTGAAAAGAAGAGAGATATGGCTTGTTGCTCTAGGAATAGCACTTCATGCTGTCTACATGCTCAGCATTTTCGACATTTACTTCAAATCCCCTATTGTACATGGCATGGACCCCGTTTCCCCTCGCTTTACTCCCCCAGCAAAGCGTCTTGTGCTCCTTGTAGGTAACCATACACTGATACTATCGTTGCACACCAACCGTTCGATTATATGTCACTGATGAATGAGGTTTCTTGTTTGAGATCTATATACCAAAGTAATCACGGACACTTTAATTGTGATTTCAGCTGATGGATTACGAGCCGACAAGTTCTTTGAGCCAGATTCTGATGGGAATTACAGAGCGCCATTTTTGAGAAGTGTAATCAAAGGACAAGGGCGTTGGGGTGTGTCTCATGCTCGTCCTCCAACAGAATCCAGACCTGGACATGTCGCAATCATAGCAGGGTTTTATGAGGATCCTAGTGCTGTCACTAAAGGTAAGTTATCTGTTCGGATGATTTGAAGTTTCATAAAAGCATACATTTCAATGTTAGAAACATTTGACTTGATAATTTGTCATAATGTCATATTGTCATGTATGCAGGATGGAAGGCAAACCCTGTGGAATTCGATTCAGTTTTCAACAAGAGTAGGCATACATTTTCTTATGGTAGCCCAGATATTGTTCCAATATTCTGTGGAGCTTTGCCTCATAGTTCATGGAACACCTATCCTCATGAGTTTGAAGATTTTGCTACTGGTATGCAAGTACATTACTTATTTAAATTAACTGAAGATTCGTTTTTGTTTCTTATTAAAACTTCATTGATTGTTATTATAGATGCATCTTTCTTGGACGAATGGTCATTTGATCAGTTCAAGAGCATTGTGAATAAGTCCAAGGAGGACCCAAAACTCAAAAAGCTATTTCAACAAGATCAAGTTGTTATATTTTTGCACCTTCTTGGTTGTGATTCAAATGGTCATGCACATCGCCCTTACTCTTCTATATATCTCAACAATGTCAAAGTTGTTGATCGTATTGCTGAAGGCGTTTATAATCTTCTTGAGAATTATTTTAAAGACAATCAAACAGCATATATATTTACAGCAGATCATGGCATGAGTGATAAAGGTTAGGAAACGTGTTCTAATAGATTCAAAGATTAGTATGAAGTTTTTATTCTGAAAATGAAATGCTTTTTCTCTTGAAAAATAGGAAGTCATGGAGATGGGCATTGGTCAAATACAGATACACCACTTGTTGTATGGGGGGCAGGTGTCAAGCATCCAAGGCCCTCATCATCACATAATCATCAAAATCATGGTGAAAGATTTGTTGATGAACATGATATGCATGATACACCTACACCTACTGATTGGGGTCTGAATAACATAGAAAGAGTGGATGTGAATCAAGCTGATATTGCACCATTGATGGTTATATCCTCAAAAGTGTTTCTTGAATCTTGATTTGTTTTGACTTTGACTTCTGACATGGTTGTAAATGTTTGACTTTTGTAGTCAACTCTCATTGGCTTGCCATGTCCTGTTAACTCAGTTGGAAGTCTACCCCTTGATTACATGGATTTAAACAAGGTAGAAAGATCAACTGTGTTGATTTTGCAGTTTATCTTTTATTATCATATCTAATAAGTAACATTATTCCATTTTTTGCTTTATATTTTTCAGGGTGATGAAGTTGAGGCTGTGTTAGCTAATACAAAGCAAATTCTCAGCCAATTTCTTCGTAAATCACGTATCCTTTATGTCTGAAAAAGACAAACAATTGCTAATATTAAATATTTAGAGCATTAAACTCTGAATGTGTTTGTTATTATCTTTTGTGTATGCTTTTTTCTGCATCTTTTACTACTTTTCCTTAATAAAATTCAGAACTAAAGCAGGAAAGCTCATTCAGATTCAAGGCATTTGAACCTTTAGTTCATCATGCTTCAATTTTGGAACAAATTGAGTCTCTGATATCTAATAAAGACTATGCACATGCAATGCAACTATCCCAAAATCTTAGAAGCTTGGCTCTAAAGGGACTCCACTACTTCCAAACATATGATTGGTTCATGCTAATGACCATTATAACCCTGGGCTACATTGGCTGGATGGTTTGTCTTATTCTCCACGTGTTGCAAGCTTATACATCTTTGCCTGGAAAAATCTTGAAAAAAGAGGAAGCAGTTTTCACAAGAGACCTTCCATCAAAGGTATATTTGATATAAAACCCACAAAAGGGCATTTGTGGAATTTCTAACTTTTTTTTTTTTTTTTTTTTTGTGGCAGGTGTATCTTTGTGGAAGTCTTGTAATGGCATCGGTTTTTGTTGTGCTATATTTGGAACACTCTCCTCCACTCTATCACGCGTATTTTGCAATGACAGTGTTTCTTTGGACAAATATATTTAGTGAATATCGATTCCTTAAAGCTTTTTGTAGATACTTACAAGAAAAAGAATCTTACCATGTCTTTGAACTCTCTGCTACCTCTCTTGTCTCCATCATCATTCTTGAATTACTAGTAAGTCCATCTATACTGATATCGACACTGACACTGATATTAACACTGGTACTGATACTGATACTTTTGCAGGTGAAAAGCTTCACTAACAGAGTTATCTACACCTGGTGTTTTTTAATTTTTGGGGTCATTTCTCCACTCTATCTTTTTAAATCAATCCCATCGAAATCTGGGATTCCAGTTTTTTTGTGTGTAGCATGTTGGTTTTTGTCAATATTTACCTTGATGCCTGCAGAGATTCCTGACAATACATTTCTAGTGTAAGTTATCATCATTAGTTAAAGATCATCATTCGATGACATCATCTGATTTATATTTTTTTTTATTTTTTCAGATCTATGAGTGGAGCTATAATTGTTGTAATTGGAGGAGTTAGTAGGTATTTAGACATGCATACAAAAGACAACAAGTATTGGCTTTATCTCATAAACCATGTCTCAAAACCTAAGTTCCCCTTCCTATTTCACTTACAGGTATGTAATTATTTATTTGTTTTACTTTTTTTTTTTTTTAATTTGTATTTCAAAATTAACATTTACAATTTTTTTTTACTAGGCCCTTTTAGTTGGTTTAGCATCTGTGTTGGTGTACATCTCAACATCTCATAGAACAGAAAACCGTGAACTTCTTCCATTACATCAACTCATGAATTGGTCAATTGCTGGTAACATTTTGCTTACCTTGTTTATTACTAGAGAGTAAATTACACTTTTGGTCCCTGAATATAGCTCATTTTTGCATTTTTGGTCCCAAAAAGTTCTCTTGCGAATTTGGTCCTCGTTTTGAAGTTTCCTAACGATTTTGGTCCCTTTGTCGTCTAAAAAAATCACCATTTCTCCCTTGGACCAAAACTGTATTAAAACAGTATACCACAGGGGCCAGATTTGTAATTTTCTCATATTTTTGTATATTAAGGTTTATACCGTTTTACATGTGCATATTAGTTTTTAAATTTATAACATTTTTAGTGTATATTGTAAATTGAATCGTTTGTTAATATATTAATATAAAATTATTTACACTACAATTATTATTAATTTAAGAAAAAAATCAAACACACATATAAAATGCTATAAAGCATGATTAAAAGATAAGAGAAAATTATATATTTGGTCCCTGTGGTATACTTATACGACACTGAGACCAGAGTCTGTAGGAAACTCCAAAATTAAGGACCAAATTTGCAAGAGAAATTCTTTTGTGACCAAAACTGCAAAAATCAGCTATACTTAGGGACCAAAAGTGTAATTTACTCATTTATTTTTTTGCTTAGGTTTATCCATGGTGCTCCCACTATTCTCTGCAACCGACCTACTCTCTCGGCTTACTTCCATATTCCTTGGTTTTGCACCTCCTTTCCTATTATTATCCATCGGGTATTTATTTATTTAAATTAATATTTTTATTTAAAAAAAAAAAAAAAATCTTGTAAATGCATAAAATTATGACATTCAAAAAATAAAACCATGTAACACAGATATGAAGCTGTATTCTATGGGGCTCTTGGCCTTGCACTTTTTGGATGGATACTTTTCGAAAACACTCTTCTCTATGTCAAAAAGTCAAACAAATCTTTGACTTCCTTTGAAGCTGAAAATGAAAACATACTTCTTGAGGAAGGTGATAGATGCTTAAAATTATCTGACATGAGAATCCCAATAGTTTTTGTAAGTAAAAATATTTAGGGATTTTCTTTTTCAATTTCATTTAACGATTTAAGTTTTAAACATCTCTAATATTTTCATTTTCTTTTTAAAAAACTTTCTAGATGGTGTTCTTCAATATAGCATTTTTTGGAACCGGTAATTTTGCAAGTATTGCAAGTTTCGAGATTTCGTCTGTTTATCGATTTATCACAATATTCAGTGTAAGTAAAAGATTTACATAACTTTTTCAATATATAATATTGTAATTTTTTTAACAAAATTAATCTGTGTCACAATCACAGCCGTTTCTCATGGCTGCCTTGCTTATTTTCAAATTGTTCATCCCATTCATGCTTGTCATGTAAGTTTATCAACTGATTTTGAATATGTTTTAATTTATTTTAATGGATTTTGATTTTTTTTTTTTTTTTGACTTTGAATGCAGATGTGCATTTAGTGCAATAACTAAATTAGCGAGAGTTCCACGGTTGGGATGTTACTTTCTTGTTATTTTATGCTCGGATGTTATGACAATTCACTTCTTCTTCTTGGTATGAATACTTAAAGTTAAAATCCTTATTATAATGCTTTGTAAAATTTATTTAATTATAGCATTGTACTTTTGATTTTCAATCTGGTTAGGACTTTTTATTTTGTAAAAACAACTCAATTATAGCAGTGAAAATTGCTTTGAATTAATATGACATTGCTATAATTCGATGGATGCTATAATAAATAAATTAATAAAAGTATATAGCTATTTCTTGTATTTAACCTTTTTTCACTCGATGTGTAATACAACAGGTGAAAAATACGGGAAGCTGGATGGAAATTGGCAACAGTATTAGCCACTTTGGAATTGTGAGTGCTCAAGTCGTTTTTGTTCTCTTGCTTTTTGCCCTTACAAATATATACACAAAAGATATCCAAACTCGATCAACAAAACAAGTTTCTCAAAAAACTATGTAGTTTTTGTTCAATCTTTTATAGGATTCCCCTTTGTTATATCATTTATGAGACTTTGTAAAAGGGTGTTTTTGACATTTTGCCCATTAGTTATTACTTTATGAATGATTGTTTTTTATAGGAATGATATGGTAGCACGACAATTTTGGAGGGTTATTTGATTATAACTTGTAACATAGACTCTTAAATGTTGATATCGGAAATACGTTATTTGAGGTAAAATCAAAGTAAAGATGTGTATTTTTTATTTAACGAGTAATTTGCTATATTTTTTTTTATTTATTTCTAAGAAATTTGCCAATGGATTTCCTTGGTATGGTACGTAGAGAAAGAAGTCTATATTAAAATCATGATTGGTCACTTCTAAGAAATTGCCCATCGATTCCTAAGAAAAAAAGGTCAAGAAATAATTTAAAAGAGGACAATAATTTGTATCTATACAAATGATTTTAACACAACATTTCCTAGAAATTACCACCAATGGATCAATCCTATTTTATAATCATGAACACAACAAGTTTTTTTAAAGAAAATTTCCGTGCAATGTTACCAACATACAAAATATAAAAAAAAAAATTAAAGAAATTTATTTTAAGATCTATTAATATCATATAATATGATTTAGACTCTTTGGAAAATTGTAGAATGTGAATAAGAGAATAATATAATAAAGAGAAAGACATGAAGAGTTGCTAGTTCGTAGATGTTGAAATATGATTTGCCAAAACAGCTAATCTTAGTATGTATAATTGGCATTTATATAGCCAATCACCATATAATATAAAAGAGGCTTTCTTGCTCTTCTGTCAAGAGGCCACGAGAGTCGAGTTTTTCACATCCTCATCCCTTGGTAAAGTCGAGTTTTATGCTCGGGTTTTGTATCGGGTCCGGGGCAGGGAGTGAGTTCTCCTCATCCCGACTTGCCCCGCCCCGATTATATATATATATATATATATATAATATATATATATATATATATCCTTTGATGTTAATTGCACTACTTAGTGTGGACAATCGTTTTAGTTTTTAAAAATATGGTGCGAATGATATTTTTTATTTTTTGACGTATTACACTAAACTTAAATCAAATAATCTTTTTAGTTATTAATAGTTTTTTTAATGTTTTTATGTATTATATTAAACTTAAATCAAATAATTTTTAATATAACGTCCAATTTATTTTATTAAAGTGATGTATCGTATTTTTAATTTAAAAAGGAGGCTAGCGCATGTGTTTTTTATAAGAAATCGAGTACCTTAAAATGGAATAAAGAGTTCGTTATGAATTGTTATAAACCCAATAAGATACCCGAAACCCGATGGAACACCCTGATAAGAAACCTGAAAAATATCGGGACGGGTTTAGGAAACTATGCCCCGCCCTGAACCTGCCCTGTTACCATTCCTAAAATGACTGCCTTGATTTTGATAGTAGTAAAGGGAAAACTTATGAGCGGTTCAACAAAATGACACGCTATTACGTCTCATCCTTTTGCGCGACAACTGTTGTAGATAACTACATTTCAATTTCATAAAATATTCTCGTTTTTTTTTAATGTTTTTTTTTTCAAATTGTTTTTTAGTGTTTAAATATAAAGTGATTACTATGATACCACTTTGAAGGTGGTTTTAACTTTTTATTGCCTTTATTATGATTTTCTTCAAGAAAAATGATGGTATAAAAATCAAATCACTTCTATTTATGTAGATGAATAAAAAATATAAATAAAATTATCACGTTCCATATATAAAAGGGAACCATCAAGCTTTGCAACTGCAATAGAGATGGGAATCTAATTAGTTTTTTTTTTATATATAATATTTTTTATTTTTTTATTTTGTGATCTTTTTAGGTCCAAACCAAAACCCAAATCAAATCAAATTATAGGCTACCCAACCAAACCAAATATCCAATTACAATTCAATTTGGTTTGGTTTCAAACCAAGAAACCAAATTTAAAATTAAAAGTAAAATCTAAATTATCATATTTCCAAACATAAAATTTACTTTTCCAATTTTCCATAATAGTTAAGTATACAAAATTAAAAATACATACACATGAACAACAAAGTATATTAAATCAAAATGCTACACTGTAAGAAAAAAAGTGACCAAATTTGATATTTAGCCTAATTTTAACGTAATGCGTATTCGCCGATTCAGAAATCCAAGATCAAGTGTACGAAGTATCTGTTCTTATTGGTTAAATTAAAATCTTAATTTCTTTTTTCAGCTTATGAATGATCCATTAATCGTCACCGGACAAGGTCTGGGTGGATACCTCGACATTCTTTTTACAATACTCCATCAACATGCGGTAGATTTGGAAGAATCCAACGGTTCAAAATCCGCGAAACGCCCCATTTGCATAACTTTCGGTGCACCCCTTACCACTCCGACGTGCTATCTCTGAACGCCCACAATGGAATTCATGTTTTTCTGAATGTGGTCGCAAATTAAGATGGATCCTCTCGCGAGTTTTTTCTCATCAAATTCTCTATACAAGCCTTTTGGTACTTTCCTGTTTTGCACAGACTCAGGTGGGCACACCGCTTTTGAAGATGAGATCCTAATCCTTGAAGTGTTAGACGCCATGGCGTCATCCAATCCTAGAAGCTTTCAATTGCTTGATTATAGGAACGAATTGGGTTCGATCAGAAGGAAGATATTGTATCGTGGGGATTCTATATTTGGTGAATGGTACTCGAATCCATTGATGGCTGGGGTCGTGACGCAATTTCAGGACATCAACGTCTTGGATGATATCTCGCATGGTCTGATTGCCAGAAGTGAAAATATATGATAAAAAACAAGAGGAAGGTTAACGCATGCATATGAGCCCACGAAGAAGCTAAACGATATGAAGATCAGTTTGACATACATGGAATGGTACATGAAGACCCGAAGATCGGAAGGAGGTTATTACGATATCTTCAAGCAGAACGGAAAAACCAAAAATGAAATCGAGAGCCGAACAAGATCATCATGTAACAACGCAAATTTTCAAACAAATTTTTCATTTCAAACAAATAGAGTATTTTTATTCAAACTAAATATAATTATTCCAGGTGTTAAGTCGAAATACAAATCATAGAATTCCCAAGATCTCAAAACATCATCATCAGTGTGTACGCATCACGCCGGCGCCTTCCCACGGTTCTCGCTAGTACCTGAAACACATACATAACAACTGTAAGCATAAATGCTTAGTGAGTTCCCCAATATACAACTTACACATATACGCCTTTCCAGGTCCTGACCTTCCGGTCCACAACACAACGCCTTCCGGCCCATAACATAATCGCCTTCCGGCCCATAACATATTGCCTTCCGGCCCATATAAACATACACAGCACGCATAACAATTAACTTACCACATACAGCACATATATCACATATCATATCCGACCTTCCGGTCACACAGTCAAACCCTTCCGAGTACAGTATAGTGAGAAGACTCACCTCGTGGATACTGAAAGCTAGCAACTCTTGAAATCACTCGTACTCGATCCGCCGAGCTACAAACTCCCTATAATATCATATATCCCTTATTAACACTTTTATCTTCCAAGTTAACTGACCCTAAGAAAATCACACATAGGTCAACTCTGGTCAACGGTCCCCGGTCAACTCGACCGGACTCGGCGAGTCTAGTCGTCCTCCAATCCTCTAAGATTCCTTCTACTCGTCGAGTATCCTCCTTGACCCGACGAGTTACTCCTGGAAGAATCGCGGGGCCACCCTGACTCCACTCGCCGAGTCTGAAGAAAGCTCGACGAGTCCCAGTTATTCTCCAAGCTACTCGCCGAGTCTGTTCATCGACT